CTCACACAGAGCTGTGAGCAGCTAACAGCTGACTTACAGATGCTAGGTGACTTCACTATTTTTATGATAAAATATTGTAATCAATTCACTACATTTTCAAGTAATGAAATATTCATAAATAAAGAGTAAACTATAATAAAGGACAGTGGTGAAAGAAGGTTCTCTCTCACTCTCCCCTCACACAAACTTCTGTGACCTCCACGAGAGAAAACCCACTGCACACTTACAGTATAATGGACTATTGTTTAAAACAGAGCTCTTGTGCCTGGAGCTCGGGAGATACCAGGATTTCCCCACATGCTTTCTGGTATCGTCCCAAAGGATTCAGGATTTGAACATTTGATCATGAATGACGACAGTTTGAGACATACGTGTGTTTTGACTGGTCACCACTGTAAGGCTGGACACGTGTAACAGATCCATGAAGAAGCCGCTTTGGTACCGGTCCAAGGAAATACTGTAGAAAGAATTAATGTCATAATTCAGTTACATTTATTGTTGTATTGCCCAAACTCACAGCAGTAATCGACTCGCAAACACAGGTCAGAGAATCAAACACTTCAAACACTGGAAATGCAATGATTTTAAAAACACATAGCCATGGGGGTGGAAACATCATGTGTGGGGGCTATTTTTCTGCAAAGGGACCAGGACAATTGATCTGTGTGAAGGATATAATGAACGGGACGATGTATTCTGAGATTTGAGTGAAAACCTCCTTCCATCAGCACATCGTCGATGGTCCTGGACTTGGTAAGAAACGTTTCATGGTCCTGGACTTGGTAAGAAACGTTTCATGGTCCTGGACTTGGTAAGAAACGTTTCATGGTCCTGGACTTGGTAAGAAACGTTTCATGGTCCTGGACTTGGTAAGAAACGTTTCATGGTCCTGGACTTGGTAAGAAACGTTTCATGGTCCTGGACTTGGTAAGAAACGTTTCATGGTCCTGGACTTGGTAAGAAACGTTTCATGGTCCTGGACTTGGTAAGAAACGTTTCATGGTCCTGGACTTGGCAAGAAACGTTTCATGGTCCTGGACTTGGTAAGAAACGTTTCATGGTCCTGGACTTGGTAAGAAACGTTTCATGGTCCTGGACTTGGTAAGAAACGTTTCATGGTCCTGGACTTGGTAAGAAACGTTTCATGGTCCTGGACTTGGTAAGAAACGTTTCATGGTCCTGGACTTGGTAAGAAACGTTTCATGGTCCTGGACTTGGTAAGAAACGTTTCATGGTCCTGGACTTGGTAAGAAACGTTTCATGGTCCTGGACTTGGTAAGAAACGTTTCATGGTCCTGGACTTGGTAAGAAACGTTTCATGGTCCTGGACTTGGTAAGAAACGTTTCATGGTCCTGGACTTGGTAAGAAACGTTTCATGGTCCTGGACTTGGTAAGAAACGTTTCATGGTCCTGGACTTGGTAAGAAACGTTTCATGGTCCTGGACTTGGTAAGAAACGTTTCATGGTCCTGGACTTGGTAAGAAACGTTTCATGGTCCTGGACTTGGTAAGAAACGTTTCATGGTCCTGGACTTGGTAAGAAACGTTTCATGGTCCTGGACTTGGTAAGAAACGTTTCATGGTCCTGGACTTGGTAAGAAACGTTTCATGGTCCTGGACTTGGTAAGAAACGTTTCATGGTCCTGGACTTGGTAAGAAACGTTTCATGGTCCTGGACTTGGTAAGAAACGTTTCATGGTCCTGGACTTGGTAAGAAACGTTTCATGGTCCTGGACTTGGTAAGAAACGTTTCATGGTCCTGGACTTGGTAAGAAACGTTTCATGGTCCTGGACTTGGTAAGAAACGTTTCATGGTCCTGGACTTGGTAAGAAACGTTTCATGGTCCTGGACTTGGTAAGAAACGTTTCATGGTCCTGGACTTGGTAAGAAACGTTTCATGGTCCTGGACTATGGTAAGAAACGTTTCATGGTCCTGGACTTGGTAAGAAACGTTTCATGGTCCTGGACTTGGTAAGAAACGTTTCATGGTCCTGGACTTGGTAAGAAACGTTTCATGGTCCTGGACTTGGTAAGAAACGTTTCATGGTCCTGGACTTGGTAAGAAACGTTTCATGGTCCTGGACTTGGTAAGAAACGTTTCATGGTCCTGGACTTGGTAAGAAACGTTTCATGGTCGGTTGGTAAGGTTTCATGGCCTGGACTTGGTAAGAAACGTTTCATGGTCCTGGACTTGGTAAGAAACGTTTCATGGTCCTGGACTTGGTAAGAAACGTTTCATGGTCCTGGACTTGGTAAGAAACGTTTCATGGTCCTGGACTTGGTAAGAAACGTTTCATGGTCCTGGACTTGGTAAGAAACGTTTCATGGTCCTGGACTTGGTAAGAAACGTTTCATGGTCCTGGACTTGGTAAGAAACGTTTCATGGTCCTGGACTTGGTAAGAAACGTTTCATGGTCCTGGACTTGGTAAGAAACGTTTCATGGTCCTGGACTTGGTAAGAAACGTTTCATGGTCCTGGACTTGGTAAGAAACGTTTCATGGTCCTGGACTTGGCAAGAAACGTTTCATGGTCCTGGACTTGGCAAGAAACGTTTCATGGTCCTGGACTTGGTAAGAAACGTTTCATGGTCCTGGACTTGGTAAGAAACGTTTCATGGTCCTGGACTTGGTAAGAAACGTTTCATGGTCCTGGACTTGGTAAGAAACGTTTCATGGTCCTGGACTTGGTAAGAAACGTTTCATGGTCCTGGACTTGGTAAGAAACGTTTTATGGTCCTGGACTTGGTAAGAAACGTTTCATGGTCCTGGACTTGGTAAGAAACGTTTCATGGTCCTGGACTTGGTAAGAAACGTTTCATGGTCCTGGACTTGGTAAGAAACGTTTCATGGTCCTGGACTTGGTAAGAAACGTTTCATGGTCCTGGACTTGGTAAGAAACGTTTCATGGTCCTGGACTTGGTAAGAAACGTTTCATGGTCCTGGACTTGGTAAGAAACGTTTCATGGTCCTGGATTTGGTAAGAAACGTTTCATGGTCCTGGACTTGGTAAGAAACGTTTCATGGTCCTGGACTTGGTAAGAAACGTTTCATGGTCCTGGACTTGGTAAGAAACGTTTCATGGTCCTGGACTTGGTAAGAAACGTTTCATGGTCCTGGACTTGGTAAGAAACGTTTCATGGTCCTGGACTTGGTAAGAAACGTTTCATGGTCCTGGACTTGGTAAGAAACGTTTCATGGTCCTGGACTTGGTAAGAAACGTTTCATGGTCCTGGACTTGGTAAGAAACGTTTCATGGTCCTGGACTTGGTAAGAAACGTTTCATGGTCCTGGACTTGGTAAGAAACGTTTCATGGTCCTGGACTTGGTAAGAAACGTTTCATGGTCCTGGACTTGGTAAGAAACGTTTCATGGTCCTGGACTTGGTAAGAAACGTTTCATGGTCCTGGACTTGGTAAGAGACGTTTCATGGTCCTGGACTTGGTAAGAGACGTTTCATGGTCCTGGACTTGGTAAGAAACGTTTCATGGTCCTGGACTTGGTAAGAGACGTTTCATGGTCCTGGACTTGGTAAGAGACGTTTCATGGTCCTGGACTTGGTAAGAGACGTTTCATGGTCCTGGACTTGGTAAGAAACGTTTCATGGTCCTGGACTTGGTAAGAAACGTTTCATGGTCCTGGACTTGGTAAGAAACGTTTCATGGTCCTGGACTTGGTAAGAAACGTTTCATGGTCCTGGACTTGGTAAGAAACGTTTCATGGTCCTGGACTTGGTAAGAAACGTTTCATGGTCCTGGACTTGGTAAGAAACGTTTCATGGTTCTGGATTGGCCAGTCTCCAGATCTCATCACCAAAGAACAACAAAAAGTCTGTGCAACAAAGTGAAGTGATAAGAATTTCTGTATGTTTCTCTCGTTGTCTCTCTCTCTGTATGTTTCTCTCGTTGTCTCTCTCTCTCTGTATGTTTCTCTCGTTGCCTCTCTCTCTCTGTATGTTTCTCTCGTTGTCTCTCTCTCTGTATGTTTCTCTCGTTGTCTCTCTCTCTCTGTATGTTTCTCTCGTTGCCTCTCTCTCTCTGTATGTTTCTCTCGTTGTCTCTCTCTCTCTGTATGTTTCTCTCCTTGCCTCTCTCTCTCTGTATGTTTCTCTCGTTGTCTCTCTCTCTGTATGTTTCTCTCGTTGTCTCTCTCTCTCTGTATGTTTCTCTCATTGCCTCTCTCTCTCTGTATGTTTCTCTCGTTGTCTCTCTCTCTCTGTATGTTTCTCTCGTTGTCTCTCTCTCTCTGTATGTTTCTCTCGTTGTCTCTCTCTCTCTGTATGTTTCTCTCGTTGTCTCTCTCTCTCTGTCTGTTTCTCTCGTTGTCTCTCTTTCTCTGTATGTTTCTCTCGTTGTCTCTCTCTCTCTGTATGTTTCTCTCGTTGTCTCTCTCTCTCTGTATGTTTCTCTCGTTCTCTCTCTCTCTCTGTATGTTTCTCTCGTTGTCTCTCTCTCTCTGTATGTTTCTCTCGTTGTCTCTCTCTCTCTGTATGTTTCTCTCGTTGCCTCTCTCTCTCTGTATGTTTCTCTCGTTGCCTCTCTCTCTCTGTATGTTTCTCTCGTTGTCTCTCTCTCTCTGTATGTTTCTCTCGTTGTCTCTCTCTCTCTGTATGTTTCTCTCGTTGTCTCTCTCTCTCTGTATGTTTCTCTCGTTGTCTCTCTCTCTCTGTATGTTTCTCTCGTTGTCTCTCTCTCTCTGTATGTTTCTCTCGTTGTCTCTCTCTCTCTGTATGTTTCTCTCGTTGTCTCTCTCTCTCTGTATGTTTCTCTCGTTGCCTCTCTCTCTCTGTATGTTTCTCTCGTTGCCTCTCTCTCTCTGTATGTTTCTCTCGTTGTCTCTCTCTCTCTGTATGTTTCTCTCGTTGTCTCTCTCTCTCTGTATGTTTCTCTCGTTGTCTCTCTCTCTCTGTATGTTTCTCTCGTTGTCTCTCTCTCTCTGTATGTTTCTCTCGTTGTCTCTCTCTCTCTGTATGTTTCTCTCGTTGTCTCTCTCTCTCTGTATGTTTCTCTCGTTGTCTCTCTCTCTCTGTATGTTTCTCTCGTTGTCTCTCTCTCTCTGTATGTTTCTCTCGTTGCCTCTCTTTCTCTGTATGTTTCTCTCCTTGTCTCTCTCTCTCTCTATGTTTCTCTCCTTGCCTCTCTCTCTCTGTATGTTTCTCTCGTTGTCTCTCTCTCTCTGTATGTTTCTCTCGTTGTCTCTCTCTCTCTGTATGTTTCTCTCGTTGCCTCTCTCTCTCTGTATGTTTCTCTCGTTGTCTCTCTCTCTCTGTATGTTTCTCTCGTTGTCTCTCTCTCTCTGTATGTTTCTCTCGTTGCCTCTCTCTCTCTGTATGTTTCTCTCGTTGTCTCTCTCTCTCTGTATGTTTCTCTCCTTGCCTCTCTCTCTCTGTATGTTTCTCTCGTTGTCTCTCTCTCTGTATGTTTCTCTCGTTGTCTCTCTCTCTCTGTATGTTTCTCTCATTGCCTCTCTCTCTCTGTATGTTTCTCTCGTTGTCTCTCTCTCTCTGTATGTTTCTCTCGTTGCCTCTCTCTCTCTGTATGTTTCTCTCGTTGCCTCTCTCTCTCTGTATGTTTCTCTCGTTGTCTCTCTCTCTCTGTATGTTTCTCTCGTTGTCTCTCTCTCTCTGTATGTTTCTCTCGTTGTCTCTCTCTCTCTGTATGTTTCTCTCGTTGTCTCTCTCTCTCTGTATGTTTCTCTCGTTGTCTCTCTCTCTCTGTATGTTTCTCTCGTTGTCTCTCTCTCTCTGTATGTTTCTCTCGTTGTCTCTCTCTCTCTGTATGTTTCTCTCGTTGCCTCTCTCTCTCTGTATGTTTCTCTCGTTGCCTCTCTCTCTCTGTATGTTTCTCTCGTTGTCTCTCTCTCTCTGTATGTTTCTCTCGTTGTCTCTCTCTCTCTGTATGTTTCTCTCGTTGTCTCTCTCTCTCTGTATGTTTCTCTCGTTGTCTCTCTCTCTCTGTATGTTTCTCTCGTTGTCTCTCTCTCTCTGTATGTTTCTCTCGTTGTCTCTCTCTCTCTGTATGTTTCTCTCGTTGTCTCTCTCTCTCTGTATGTTTCTCTCGTTGTCTCTCTCTCTCTGTATGTTTCTCTCGTTGCCTCTCTTTCTCTGTATGTTTCTCTCCTTGTCTCTCTCTCTCTCTATGTTTCTCTCCTTGCCTCTCTCTCTCTGTATGTTTCTCTCGTTGTCTCTCTCTCTCTGTATGTTTCTCTCGTTGTCTCTCTCTCTCTGTATGTTTCTCTCGTTGCCTCTCTCTCTCTGTATGTTTCTCTCGTTGTCTCTCTCTCTCTGTATGTTTCTCTCGTTGTCTCTCTCTCTCTGTATGTTTCTCTCGTTGTCTCTCTCTCTCTGTATGTTTCTCTCGTTGTCTCTCTCTCTCTGTATGTTTCTCTCGTTGTCTCTCTCTCTCTGTATGTTTCTCTCGTTGTCTCTCTCTCTCTGTATGTTTCTCTCGTTGTCTCTCTCTCTGTATGTTTCTCTCCTTGTCTCTCTCTCTCTCTATGTTTCTCTCCTTGCCTCTCTCTCTCTGTATGTTTCTCTCGTTGTCTCTCTCTCTCTGTATGTTTCTCTCGTTGTCTCTCTCTCTCTCTGTATGTTTCTCTCGTTGCCTCTCTCTCTCTGTATGTTTCTTTCGTTGTCTCTCTCTCTCTGTATGTTTCTCTCGTTGTCTCTCTCTCTCTGTATGTTTCTCTCGTTGTCTCTCTCTCTCTGTATGTTTCTCTCGTTGTCTCTCTCTCTCTGTATGTTTCTCTCGTTGTCTCTCTCTCTCTGTATGTTTCTCTCGTTGTCTCTCTCTCTCTGTATGTTTCTCTCGTTGTCTCTCTCTCTGTATGTTTCTCTCGTTGTCTCTCTCTCTCTGTATGTTTCTCTCGTTGTCTCTCTCTCTCTGTGTATGTTTCTCTCGTTGCCTCTCTCTCTCTGTATGTTTCTTTCGTTGCCTCTCTCTCTGTATGTTTCTCTCGTTGCCTCTCTCTCTCTGTATGTTTCTCTCGTTGCCTCTCTCTCTCTGTATGTTTCTCTCGTTGCCTCTCTCTCTCTGTATGTTTCTCTCGTTGCCTCTCTCTCTCTGTATGTTTCTCTCGTTGCCTCTCTCTCTCTGTATGTTTCTCTCGTTGCCTCTCTCTCTGTATGTTTCTCTCGTTGCCTCTCTCTCTCTGTATGTTTCTCTCGTTGCCTCTCTCTCTGTATGTTTCTCTCGTTGCCTCTCTCTCTCTGTATGTTTCTCTCGTTGCCTCTCTCTCTCTGTATGTTTCTCTCGTTGCCTCTCTCTCTCTGTATGTTTCTCTCGTTGCCTCTCTCTCTCTGTATGTTTCTCTCGTTGCCTCTCTCTCTGTATGTTTCTCTCGTTGTCTCTCTCTCTCTGTCTGTTTCTCTCGTTGTCTCTCTTTCTCTGTATGTTTCTCTCGTTGTCTCTCTCTCTCTGTATGTTTCTCTCGTTGTCTCTCTCTCTCTGTATGTTTCTCTCGTTGTCTCTCTCTCTCTGTATGTTTCTCTCGTTGTCTCTCTCTCTCTGTATGTTTCTCTCGTTGTCTCTCTCTCTCTGTATGTTTCTCTCGTTGTCTCTCTCTCTCTGTCTGTTTCTCTCGTTGTCTCTCTTTCTCTGTATGTTTCTCTCGTTGTCTCTCTCTCTCTGTATGTTTCTCTCGTTGTCTCTCTCTCTCTGTATGTTTCTCTCGTTGTCTCTCTCTCTCTGTATGTTTCTCTCGTTGTCTCTCTCTCTCTGTATGTTTCTCTCGTTGTCTCTCTCTCTCTGTATGTTTCTCTCGTTGTCTCTCTCTCTCTGTATGTTTCTCTCGTTGTCTCTCTCTCTCTGTATGTTTCTCTCGTTGTCTCTCTCTCTGTATGTTTCTCTCGTTGTCTCTCTCTCTCTGTATGTTTCTCTCGTTGTCTCTCTCTCTCTGTATGTTTCTCTCGTTGCCTCTCTCTCTCTGTATGTTTCTTTCGTTGCCTCTCTCTCTGTATGTTTCTCTCGTTGTCTCTCTCTCTCTGTATGTTTCTCTCGTTGCCTCTCTCTCTCTGTATGTTTCTCTCGTTGCCTCTCTCTCTCTGTATGTTTCTCTCGTTGCCTCTCTCTCTCTGTATGTTTCTCTCGTTGCCTCTCTCTCTGTATGTTTCTCTCGTTGTCTCTCTCTCTCTGTATGTTTCTCTCGTTGCCTCTCTCTCTCTGTATGTTTCTCTCGTTGCCTCTCTCTCTCTGTATGTTTCTCTCGTTGCCTCTCTCTCTGTATGTTTCTCTCGTTGCCTCTCTCTCTCAGACTCGCAGTCGGTGGACAAGTATTTCGTGTTTTTCAGAACTGTTCTTCTTCACTGCCTCATCACTGAGAGTTGCTGGTTTGAATCCTGCTCAGATCCACTGACTCTTCATGTGAGCTGTATGTGTTTGTCCTGGACGCCCCTGCTGCACTGACACGAGCTCTAAATGATCCCTTTGTTTATATTTTATGCAAAACATGAATTAACCTTGAACTGTGACCGTGCAGCTGGTTTCAGCCCCGAGAGAATCCAGAGAAACCCCAGAGACAGGACACGGTCTGCAGCTGGTTTCAGCCCCGAGAGAATCCAGAGAAACCCCAGAGACAGGACACGGTCTGCAGCTGGTTTCAGCCCCGAGAGAATCCAGAGAAACCCCAGAGACAGGACACGGTCTGCAGCTGGTTTCAGCCCCGAGAGAATCCAGAGAAACCCCAGAGACAGGACACGGTCTGCAGCTCCGGAGACACATGGGTCAGAATGTACAGTTTAGTCCAGAGCTTTTCTGCATTCACACTTCCACAAACACAACACGATCTCAGGACTTAGACCTAGACTTAGACCCAGACTTAGACCTGGACTTGGACCTAGACTTAGACCTGGACTTGGACCTGGACTTGGACCTAGACTTAGACCTAAATACATAAATATAAAACATGAGCTCTTCTTTTCTCAGTTTAGGATGAATCCCGTTTGAGTCCAATCCAAATACATTTAGTCACAAACATGTCTCCTTCATTAGAGACTCCCTCTCCAGGACCAGGACGAGTCACTCCCTCTCCAGGACCAGGACGAGTCACTCCCTCTCCAGGACCAGGACGAGTCCCTCCCTCTCCAGGACCAGGACGAGTCACTCCCTCTCCAGGACCAGGACGAGTCACTCCCTCTCCAGGACCAGGACGAGTCACTCCCTCTCCAGGACCAGGACGAGTCACTCCCTCTCCAGGACCAGGACGAGTCACTCCCTCTCCAGGACCAGGACGAGTCACTCCCTCTCCAGGACCAGGACGAGTCACTCCCTCTCCAGGACCAGGACGAGTCCCTCCCTCCCCAGGACCAGGACGAGTCCCTCCCTCCCCAGGACCAGGACGAGTCCCTCCCTCTCCTCGTCCACTGGAACGAGCTTCAGCACCACATCATTTTCGGCTCAAGAAAAACTTCTGCTAATTTAAAATACAAGAGGTTTTGGAAACTGTGAATCAGACTTGAATCAAAACATTACTGTAGGTCATCTCAGACTTCACAAAGTTGTGGATTCACCAACAGCAGATCAGAAAATCAAACAGGATAAAAACAAAGGAGCTGTTGGTTCATAAGGAGCGGGACCAGAGTCAGAAATATTTATAAATGTCTGGGATCATCACTGTCCTTAACCTCCTCCATCTGCAAAGAACCTTTAAAAAACCCATGTGAGGAATGGTGAGAAACCTTAGGTGAAAAATGTTGGTGCGGGACCTCAGTGCTACCCTGGTCTAACTGCACCATGGTACTCGTTTCATTTGTACTAAGGTCTGGATCTGCTTCATTGACTCCGTTTACAGGTGGGAGGGGCTAACTCCTTTTGCAGATTGAAACAAATGAATCTGAGTTTACTGTGACGTATGTAACGAGCCCGAGTGAGTGAGGCATTTAGCATTTAACCTAGCTTTATCATTAGCCTAGCTTTAGCATTTAGCCTAGCTTTAGCCATCGCCTTTGCCGCTAACGGAGCCCGTGGGGAGTAGAGCCACGACATCTTTGCTTCAATGACATTTACTAAACATTCCTCTTGCTCCGGCTTCAGTTTCTTGATATTTGGATTGAACCAGAACAGATTATTTTACTATCGCATTCTCCGACAAACTACAACCAGCAAATTCAGCACAAACTCTTGACGTCACCGACACCGACCTACAACACCCGCCTCCCCCGCTCTCTGATTGGTCGGAGGAGATTCAACCGAGGAAACTGCAGCCACTAGGATCAGACCCAGACGTACATGTAGGAAATGATCATGGACCAGAGTTTACACATGGTAAGACCAGACGTACATGTAGGAAATGATCATGGACCAGAGGTTACACATGGTAAGACCAGACGTACATGTAGGAAATGACCATGGACCAGAGTTTACACATGGTAAGACCAGACGTACATGTAGGAAATGATCATGGACCAGAGTTTACACATGGTAAGACCAGACGTACATGTAGGAGATGATCATGGACCAGAGTTTACACATGGTAAGACCAGACGTACATGTAGGAAATGATCATGGACCAGAGTTTACACATGGTAAGACCAGATGTACATGTAGGAAATGACCATGGACCAGAGTTTACACATGGTAAGACCAGACGTACATGTAGGAAATTATCATGGACCAGAGTTTACACATGGTAAGACCAGACGTACATGTAGGAGATGATCATGGACCAGAGTTTACACATGGTAAGACCAGACGTACATGTAGGAGATGATCATGGACCAGAGTTTACACATGGTAAGACCAGACGTACATGTAGGAAATGATCATGGACCAGAGTTTACACATGGTAAGACCAGACGTACATGTAGGAGATGATCATGGACCAGAGTTTACACATGGTAAGACGTGGCTACCACATTTAAGACAAAAACTAACGTGCCTCCGCTATAGTCAACTGTTGCATAAAGTCTTTATCAACATGGACATCCCCCCCCTTCCCCCCCCCCCCCTCTTACTCCGCCTCAAACACCTCAAACACATAACCTTTCCACTGGGGGCCAGACAGCGGCCCCAAATGTCAGCGCCGGTCTGGACCGAGCTGCTGCCAATCAGGGCCCTTTGAAGCCCTGAGCGATCTGTGGAGGGTCTGGGCCGCTGAGGGACCCCATCTGCTGCTCCAGCCCGGGACCCAGGGCTCATAACGAGGCATTGAAGAGGCCCAGTCCACAGGGAGGAGGGGGGGACGCAATCATCTTTTTCAAAATATAGGATTTTAATGTATTTTCAAAAACAAGTTTAACTTTTAGAATGGTGACTTGGTTTTGGGAGAAAGAACCTCAGAATTATTTTGATATAATATATTTTAAGTCCTGCCTCTTTCTCCTAGTGTTATGCTGGTCCTCTCCTGTCTTTCTCTTGGTGTTATTCTGGTCCTCTCCTCTCTTTTTCCTAGTGTTATGCTGGTCCTCTCCTGTCTTTCTCCTAGTGTTGTGCCGGTCCTCTCCTGTCTTTCTCCTAGTGTTGTGCTGGTCCTCTCCTGTCTTTCTCCTAGTGTTGTGCTGGTCCTCTCCTGTCTTTCTCTTGGTGTTATTCTGGTCCTCTCCTCTCTTTTTCCTAGTGTTATGCTGGTCCTCTCCTGTCTTTCTCCTAGTGTTGTGCCGGTCCTCTCCTGTCTTTCTCCTAGTGTTGTGCTGGTCCTCTCCTGTCTTTCTCCTAGTGTTGTGCCGGTCCTCTCCTGTCTTTCTCCTGGTGTTATGCTGGTCCTCTCCTCTCTTTCTCATAGTGTTGTGCTGGTCCTCTCCTCTCTTTCTCCTAGTGTTATGCCGGTCCTCTCCTGTCTTTCTCCTAGTGTTGTGCTGGTCCTCTCCTGTCTTTCTCCTAGTGTTGTGCCGGTCCTCTCCTGTCTTTCTCCTGGTGTTATGCTGGTCCTCTCCTCTCTTTCTCATAGTGTTGTGCTGGTCATCTCCTCTCTTTCTCCTAGTGTTATGCTGGTCCTCTCCTGTCTTTCTCCTAGTGTTGTGCTGGTCCTCTCCTGTCTTTCTCTTGGTGTTATTCTGGTCCTCTCCTGTCTTTCTCCTAGTGTTGTGCCGGTCCTCTCCTGTCTTTCTCCTGGTGTTATGCTGGTCCTCTCCTCTCTTTCTCATAGTGTTGTGCTGGTCCTCTCCTCTCTTTCTCCTAGTGTTATGCCGGTCCTCTCCTGTCTTTCTCCTAGTGTTGTGCTGGTCCTCTCCTGTCTTTCTCCTAGTGTTGTGCCGGTCCTCTCCTGTCTTTCTCCTGGTGTTATGCTGGTCCTCTCCTCTCTTTCTCATAGTGTTGTGCTGGTCCTCTCCTCTCTTTCTCCTAGTGTTATGCTGGTCCTCTCCTGTCTTTCTCCTAGTGTTATGCCGGTCCTCTCCTGTCTTTCTCATAGTGTTATGCTGGTCCTCTCCTGTCTTTCTCCTAGTGTTGTGCTGGTCCTCTCCTGTCTTTCTCTTGGTGTTATTCTGGTCCTCTCCTGTCTTTCTCCTAGTGTTATGCTGGTCCTCTCCTCTCTTTCTCCTAGTGTTGTGCTGGTCCTCTCCTCTCTTTCTCCTAGTGTTGTGCTGGTCCTCTCCTGTCTTTCTCCTAGTGTTATGCTGGTCCTCTCCTGTCTTTCTCATAGTGTTGTGCTGGTCCTCTCCTGTGTTTCTCATAGTGTTGTGCTGGTCCTCTCCTGTCTTTCTCATAGTGTTGTGCTGGTCCTCTCCTGTCTTTCTCCTAGTGTTGTGCCGGTCCTCTCCTGTCTTTCTCCTGGTGTTATGCTGGTCCTCTCCTCTCTTTCTCATAGTGTTGTGCTGGTCATCTCCTCTCTTTCTCCTAGTGTTATGCTGGTCCTCTCCTGTCTTTCTCCTAGTGTTGTGCTGGTCCTCTCCTGTCTTTCTCTTGGTGTTATTCTGGTCCTCTCCTGTCTTTCTCCTAGTGTTGTGCCGGTCCTCTCCTGTCTTTCTCCTGGTGTTATGCTGGTCCTCTCCTCTCTTTCTCATAGTGTTGTGCTGGTCCTCTCCTCTCTTTCTCCTAGTGTTATGCCGGTCCTCTCCTGTCTTTCTCCTAGTGTTGTGCTGGTCCTCTCCTGTCTTTCTCCTAGTGTTGTGCCGGTCCTCTCCTGTCTTTCTCCTGGTGTTATGCTGGTCCTCTCCTCTCTTTCTCATAGTGTTGTGCTGGTCCTCTCCTCTCTTTCTCCTAGTGTTATGCTGGTCCTCTCCTGTCTTTCTCCTAGTGTTGTGCTGGTCCTCTCCTGTCTTTCTCTTGGTGTTATTCTGGTCCTCTCCTGTCTTTCTCCTAGTGTTATGCTGGTCCTCTCCTCTCTTTCTCCTAGTGTTGTGCTGGTCCTCTCCTCTCTTTCTCCTAGTGTTGTGCTGGTCCTCTCCTGTCTTTCTCCTAGTGTTATGCTGGTCCTCTCCTGTCTTTCTCATAGTGTTGTGCTGGTCCTCTCCTGTCTTTCTCCTAGTGTTATGCTGGTCCTCTCCTCTCTTTCTCCTAGTGTTGTGCTGGTCCTCTCCTCTCTTTCTCCTAGTGTTGTGCTGGTCCTCTCCTGTCTTTCTCCTAGTGTTATGCTGGTCCTCTCCTGTCTTTCTCATAGTGTTGTGCTGGTCCTCTCCTGTGTTTCTCATAGTGTTGTGCTGGTCCTCTCCTGTCTTTCTCATAGTGTTGTGCTGGTCCTCTCCTGTCTTTCTCCCAGTGTTGTGCTGGTCCTCTCCTGTCTTTCTCCCAGTGTTATGCTGGTCCTCTCCTGTCTTTCTCCTAGTGTTATGCTGGTCCTCTCCTGTCTTTCTCATAGTGTTGTGCTGGTCCTCTCCTGTCTTTCTCCTAGTGTTATGCTGGTCCTCTCCTGTCTTTCTCATAGTGTTGTGCTGGTCCTCTCCTGTCTTTCTCCTAGTGTTGTGCTGGTCCTCTCCTGTCTTTCTCCTAGTGTTATGCTGGTCCTCTCCTGTCTTTCTCATAGTGTTGTGCTGGTCCTCTCCTGTGTTTCTCATAGTGTTGTGCTGGTCCTCTCCTGTCTTTCTCATAGTGTTGTGCTGGTCCTCTCCTGTCTTTCTCCCAGTGTTGTGCTGGTCCTCTCCTGTCTTTCTCCCAGTGTTATGCTGGTCCTCTCCTGTCTTTCTCCTAGTGTTATGCTGGTCCTCTCCTGTCTTTCTCATAGTGTTGTGCTGGTCCTCTCCTGTCTTTCTCCTAGTGTTATGCTGGTCCTCTCCTCTCTTTCTCCTAGTGTTGTGCTGGTCCTCTCCTCTCTTTCTCCTAGTGTTGTGCTGGTCCTCTCCTGTCTTTCTCCTAGTGTTATGCTGGTCCTCTCCTGTCTTTCTCATAGTGTTGTGCTGGTCCTCTCCTGTGTTTCTCATAGTGTTGTGCTGGTCCTCTCCTGTCTTTCTCATAGTGTTGTGCTGGTCCTCTCCTGTCTTTCTCCCAGTGTTGTGCTGGTCCTCTCCTGTCTTTCTCCCAGTGTTATGCTGGTCCTCTCCTGTCTTTCTCCTAGTGTTATGCTGGTCCTCTCCTGT